TTTAAAATTGATTAATTCATTAATTGTATGAATTAAATATTTAATAAAAATAAAATCTAATTTTTATTAATTTATTAATCAAATGAATTAAGTTTGTTTGGAGGAAAATGTATTAAAAAGCAATTAAGTTGATGATTAAAACAATCAAATTGTTAACTGATTACTCACAATGTTAAAGGAATGCTTGACCTTTAACAATGCGTTGAGCATTTACAAAAAATATTACTTTATTATCAAATTTGAACATATAAAGTGTTTTATAAATTGTCAGGCAACTTGAATATTATATGCCTAAAATCGTATTGACTATTTAAGAATTATAAACATTGTTAGCATAAGAAATCAAAATAAAATATTAAAAAAAAAACTAAAATAGAAAAGTTGGCCAGAAAATTTTTTTCAATCAATTAAAAAACTAATTGAATCAATTAAAAATTTAATCAAATTTGTAAACTTAGGTTTTAAACAACGAGATAATTAAGACAAATAAAAAATTGCTTAAATTAAAACTAAAGAAAATAAACTACTGATAATTTTTTCTGTGTATTGATACATGATATTTTTAAAAACTCCGTTCCTCGGGACACTATTGTATAAGTGTCTTTAATGTTTAATTTTGTATTTATTTTATTATTTAAACAATTTTCTGAATTTATTTAGTTTATTGGCTTTTTGATGATTAGATAGATGTTTGGAACAGTTTTTTTGTCTGTCTTCTCTGTTATGTATCTTAAACAGTTCAATAAGTGGTTATAATTTTTAATGTACATTAACTTTATTATCCATTTATCTGAATTTGTTTTCATGTTTCTCTTTTTCTTTTATGTTAATGAAATTTGTTGTGTTTTTAGTTTTATTTCATCTAAAGTGTTGCATGTTAACTAATTTTGAACAAAATTTTACTTTCATTTTCCACTCGAATTAATTTTTGCTTTAAATTCACAGTATTTGCCTAGAGAATTTTTAATGCATCATCTCGTCATTGGTTTTTTTCTTTGTGCTTTTCTTTTGATGTTTCGTTGTTATTTTGTGCACACCCTCCAGCAGATAATACTACTTGGTGTAGACATAGACTACTAAATACTTGGATAAATGTATGTGCAGTTCGGTAATGACTATTTTTAAGTCATCACTCAATCACTTTTACTGTTTGATCCTAATTAAACTAAAAAATCTTGTTCCTGCTAAAACAATATTAAGAAATTACCAATTTTGTTATTTTTAATTTTTATACAAAATTTATTTAGCAAATCTCATATACCGCACATTTATTTCGTTTTTGCTGCCTTTATATTATTTCATAATTTTGTTTTGGCTTCTTCTGAAAATAAATTTGTTTGTTTAAATATTTTGATTAAATAAAGATTTATGAGCATTTTTTAAACATTCAGATACGCATAGAAAAATTTCACTTGCGAAAAAATTCCAAACATGCATCATTTAATTATAAAGTTTACCAAAAAAAATTACAAACTAAATACTTTATTAAAACGCAATTATGTTGTTAAGTAATTGATCAAAAGTTTTAAGTAATATTTATATATTATAGTACAGATGAATTTTTGATAATTACAAAAGGAAGGGATGAAATTTTGACCAAGGTTAGTACTATTGGATAGTAGGGCAGACACAAATGTTTAGATCTATCGGTCAAGAACTGCTGGGGTTAAAGGGGGTCAAAGTTGGACATTTTTGTCATTCAGGGTTTCTTTCAAATGAGTGTAACTTTTCACCATTTTTCTCAAAAGAAAGCTTCTTTTAATGGCTTTGTAGTCGTTCAATGAGATGCGAGTAGGATATCTATGAAAAAAATTATTTTTTAACTCAAGAATAAGATTTTTTTCAAGATTTGGCATTTAATTTTCTCCTATTTTTCAAAATAGACGTTAGACCATTCCTTTAAGAGCTTTGTGGTCCTTATTCTTGAGTTAAACCTTGCTTCTGAGCAAAAAAGTGGAAACAGTGAAGAAATATCTATCCTGCAAAAACTGGGTAATGGCTTTCAATTGTAATTACTTACCTAACAACATACTTTTCAATGACTACTACATATCGTCTGGATTAAATAGAAGTAGTCTAATAAGGGCTTACTAATAATGCGTTATATAAATACTTTTAAAATCATTAGTCAACTTGGCAGTAAAGATATAGAAGCTGTATACGTTTTTCATGCGATAAACAATGAATAATTTTTTTATTTACTTGTAATCGTCTGTGTTAAGTACTTACCTCCAATGATATCAACGTGTTAAAATAATAATTGTGTAAGTAAAGTTTAGCATTTTAGCCCTTACGTGGTAATGAAAGTTTTTACTGGAAAGGTATCCCGTTCAACACTTTTACTAGGAATACTTAATACGAAAAAATATATATTTTTTTTGAAAAGGTCCTCAGTAATGAAAGTTTTTACTGGGTTTCAAATTCCTTGAGACAATTTATGATAGGACCAATAGGTGAAAATTTACACTCATTTGAAAAAACCCTGTATGGCCAAAATGTCCAACTTTGACCTCCTCTAACTTTGACTTAACATAACTTTTGAAACCGATATCTTTCAGGATTAAATTTGAACCAATGTAAGTCCTTTAAGATATAAGCATTGGCACAATTTTCAACGAAATCAATTAAGAACTTTCTCATGGATCCGTTATGGAGTCTATTTTTATAACCACCATCAAAAAAGATATCATTCTCTTTGTAACACATCGAAATATTGGTCATAGACCCATAAAAGTATATATACTCTGGGTCCTTATTAATTTCTAAGACGATCTAGACCTGAGGATCGGTCCATAATTGGTCCCCTTCAGCAAATGACTTTAACACTCATTACATTATTAAAAATTCGAGTATAGCTAAGAAATTCGGTATAATAATAATAATAAGAATCTTTTATACGAAAGTTAATCTTGAGGAGTATTCAGAAAATTATTAGTTCAGCGATGAAAAGCGACATAAAAAATGTTAAACTTAGAAACATCTATAACTGCCCCTAGCACCTATAATGGAAAGAGTTTTGGTTATTAAAATACGAGTTTTCCTTATTTAAATCACGAGTATTGTGACGAAATTTGACATAAACAAGTTCGGTTCATAATTGACGCATATAAGGTCTTAAGCCAATGGTTTAAATATTGAAAAAATATTTTTTTTTTTTTAAATTAATATTTTGTTAGTTCAAAAGAGCTCGGTCCATAATTGACTTAAGCCGTATTCCATATATATATATATGTTTAAATGAAAGCATTCCTTTTACGGCATACGGTTTGATGGTGGATATATGAGATTCGGCACAGCCGAATATAACAACCTCACTTGTTAAATTTAATCTGAAATACTCCTTATGCCAAATTTCCAAAAATACAAAATAGTGCAAGTGCTAAAAATTTGTCTGAGTCATCATCTATTTTGATACAGATCACACTAAATAAAATTCTTAATAGAAAATATCTCAGCTTCTTTTCAGTCATAAATAATGAAAATTTTAATTTTGCAAAATTAAAGTGCAACATTTTTGGACAATGTTTCGTCTTCAAGGTAATAGTAAAAATCCAAAGCATTCACAATCCAAAGCATAAAACATTAGCGATTCTCTCGTTCCAATGCTGATTTTAACGAAACACTTTTATCACAAAATTGATATTCAGGCGATGATCCTAAATTAGAAGTTTTTTAAAATAAATCTTTTCACTTTAATTCATTTCTACTAGGGTATTTAAACAAGTTATTATCGAATCCTTACACAATGCAATGATAGCTAAGTATGTAAGCTTTCATGCATAAACTTTTTTAAGATAATTTTTTTTTTTTTATTAAACGTCTGGTAGTTTCTAATAATATGATTTCTTGCAGCATGTTGATCTACTGACATTTAAAATGAAATAACTTAAATCAATTAAGAATCACATGTTTATAATAACAATGTGGCGTCAAGTGAACTTATGTATATGCAAACACCTGGTATACGAGAGATGTTTTAAGAAATTTAAAGTACCGGAATCTATTAAGGTATTTGAGAATATATTGGTAACATTTTGAATAAATTTCTCGAACAGATTGATATGAAATTTCGAAGTGGTTTCAAAATAAATTAAGTTCTAAAGTTGGAAGTAATTTTAATTTCTAATTCCAAAAATACACTATACTATTATACAACCCTCGTATAATGCTACCGTTTATAAAAAATTAAAAAAAAAACAAGTAAGAAAGTATAGTCGGGCGTGGCCGACCATATGATACCCTACACCAGTTATGAATATTAAATGTGATTTATTTTTCATAATAAAGCATTTATCTTCAATATTCCCTTGTTCCGATACATTTAAGCAATTTATGGATGAAAAACTAATTTTCTGAAAGAGGCTTTATATGGGGGCTAGGGGCAAATATGGACCAAGCCCGATAAAATTTTGTGGATATATTTATATTTACATAATATTTTATTGTACTGAATTTCATCGCGATGTTTGTGTTTATAAGTTAATTTGGGACATTCAAGTAATTTTCTGAAGGGGACTTTGTATGGGAGCTAGGGTCAGATGGGGCCCGATCTTTATGAAATTGGCAGGGTCATCAAGACTTCTATAAAACTTAGTTGCGCCGTATTTTATCGATATATCTGTATATTTAACATAATTATGAGCTCAGAAGCCCTTTTCATCCAATCGACTCAGAAAACGATTCTAAGCCGATTGGTATACTTTAAGGTGGGTCTAGGACGAATATTTTTGTATGTTACAAACATCAGCACAAATCCAATATACCCTCCCCACTAAAGTGGTGTAGGGTACAAAAAACGAAAACAAAAACAAATTGTACAAACATATTTGTTTAATTTGATATGAAATAAAATATTATGCAAGTTTTTTTTTTTTCTTAACCAGTTAATACCATCAACTTGGTTTTATTTATGACTATATTTGCATTGGAGCCACAAAATACAAAAAACCAGTTTAATGACTTTAGGAAAAACAAGAAATCTCTTTTATATCGTAATATTTTAGCATCACCACTAAACAGTCTTGAATAAACCTTCGAGAAAACTACAACGGTCTTAAGAGCAAATTGGTCCCGTGATAAAAAAAAACGAAATGAAATTACAAGTGGTTATACTTTTAGTAACTTTGGCTTTGGTAAGTTTATATTGATTTTAAATTGATAAGTAAAATTTAAAAATTTCTTTTCTTTTTATAGGTCTCGGCCAAATTCGAATTACGCAATAGAGATGATGCCTTAAGGGCTCACGAAGAATGTCGCGAGGACAATTATGTACCCGATGAGATTTACGAAAAATTCTTGAATTACGAATTTCCCGATCATAAGCGCACAAAGTGTTATATTAAATGTTGGGTTGAAAAAATGGAATTATTCAATGAAAAGAAGGGCTTCGATGAAAAGAGTATTGTCTATCAATTTACCCATGAACATCCTAATTATTTGGCAAATGTACGTCATGGTTTGGAAAAGTGTATCGATCATAATGAAGCTGAATCTGATGTATGCACTTTCGCTCATCGTGTCTTCTCTTGCTGGATTAAGATTAATCGTCCTGCTGTACGTAAGGTCTTTGGTGAAAACTAAAGAATTACGTATTTAGAAAGTAAATGTTTATATTTACAAAAATTATTTTATAAAAATTGTGATCAATTGTAATTTTGTTATAAAAATTATGAGAAAATTATTAAAATTTTATTTTAAATAAAAGAAATACTGTTAAATGTTTAAACTTTATAATTTACAAAATGAAAAATTATAATTGAGGCAGAAATGTTTGGTCCAAGGATGAATCCATTTCAAGAAATTCGGAAAAAGACTAATATGGCTTTACATTCATGATTCTATAATCATAAATGATATTATTGTTTAAATGTAGAACTAAATAAGGTAAATAGGTCATTTTTAAAGATAGTTTTATTTAGGTCGTAGTCTAAGGTAATTTATGGCTTCTGTTTATGGTTCTTCAAATCCACCGCTAAAGAGAATACACATGTTTAAAACAATATATTCAATTAATATAATAGGAATTTTTAAAAACCTTATCTCTTCGAATACGTACTAAACTTGAAGTGAACTTGACAATTGTCAATGCTGCTTTGATTAGCCTTAGCTCAGAAGAGACTTAGAGTTCGTTATCAGCTGGTATATTTTTTGTGGATTAGAAAAGGGTAGCTAATAGCGGTGTTTTTTCGCTGATATGTTTTGCTAAAAATATTTTTTGAAAAATACCAAAAAAATAGTTCCTACTTTAGCATAATTATGTCAGTTTATAATTATATTTCTTAATGACAACATTAGAAATAATTTTTAAATAAACCGGATCAAAATGAAAACATTTAATTTATTACTTTTAAATTTATGTTTAATAACAATAACGGTGGGATATTTTCAGAAAAATATGTAACAATAGAATCCATTTTAAATTCAAAAGTGTTTATTTATAGTCTTTGGCTTCAGCAGATCTAGATGCTAAAGAGGGACGTGTTATAGCAGAGTGCTTAGATCGTTTTGGTGGTCCTACTTTAGAGAATGCCGAACGTTTACAGCGTTTTAAACAGTGGTCTGATACCTATGAGGAAATTCCCTGTTTTACTCACTGTTATCTAAGTAAAATGTTTGATTTCTATAACGAAACCAAGGGCTTCAATGGACCTAATGTTATCAAACAATTTGGCAATGTTATCTATGAGGCCTGTAAAGCAAAACTAGTAGAGGGCAATGATCAATGTGAAGTGGCCTACAGTGGTTTCCATTGCATGGTTAATGTAAGTATTTTGAAATAAAACAGAATTCAAAAATATAAAAAAGTAACATTTCCAGCTGGAAAATGATCCTTTTGTAGTAATTGAAAGTATGCAGGGCTTAAATGCCGATGCCAAATTGGCCATGAAAGATTGCTTGCACAAATTCGATCAATATGAATGGCAACGATTTGGTGAATATAGCGATTATCCCGTTAAGGAACCCATACCTTGCTACACTCGTTGTTTTGTGGAAAAATTACAATTGTTCAATCATCGTTTACGCAAATGGAATACTAAGAGTATGCTTGAGAAATTAGGTTTCCCAAATGAGAATGCAAATATATCCGCTTGTTTAGCTATGGGTCAGAGACGTACACGTAACTCATGTGCCTGGATGTATAGAGAGTTTATTTGCTTTTTAATGTCTAGAAATCAAAATAATGTAGAAAAGAAATATTAAATTAGTGTTGTTTAATTTTAAATAAAATATAAGAGTAATCATTGTAAAATGTTGAAAGTGAAATGTTTTATTTTAATATTTTTTAAAATTTGAACTTTAAGATAGGCTCACATACATGTAAGGTATACAAGTATATGATACCCTACACCAGTTATGAGTATATTTAAAATGTGTATTATTTTTAATAATAAAGCATTAATGGTATACCTTTCCTTAATTTCGATATATTTTTGAAGAAAAAATTATTTTCTGATGGAGACTATATATGGGAAGGGTCAATTATGAACCGATCCTAAGAAAATTTGGTGTAGGGATTTTTGTTGACATTTAAGTTAATTATACCGAATTTTATTGTATTTCAAGTATTTATAAGGAAATTAATGACGTTCAAGCATTTTCAGAGGGGGACTTTGCAAGGGGGCTAGGGCCGCTCATTACAAAATTTTACAGTATCATTTATGCTGGTATAAAACGTAGTTGTGCCTTTTTTTGTAGGAATATTAGTATATTTGGCGTAATTATGAGCTCAAATCCCAATTTAGGGGGTCCGGTTATTTGGGGGCTAGGTTAAATAATGGACGGATATCAACCAAATGAAATAAAGTTCGTCCTTGGTCAAAAGTAACGTGTGTACTTAATTTCCAATTATTTTAAAATTGCGACCTATAGTATGATTACAAGGACAGACAGATAGACAGACAGACAGACAGATAAACAGATAGACAGACAGACGGACGGATGGCTAGATTGATGAAATTAAGCATAATAATTATGTGCTCAAATCCCAATTTAGGGTGTCCGGTTATTTGGGTGCTAAATTTCATCCAATTATTTCAAAATTGCGATTGATTACAAGGTCAGACAGACAGATAGACAGACAGACAGACAGACAGACAGACAGACAGACAGACAGACAGACAGACAGACAGACAGACAGACATACAGACAGACGGATGGACAGATGGCTAGATTGATTAAATTAAAGAAATTCATCATCAGTTCATGATCGGCCCATTATCGACTCTATTCGCAATAATGTGATTTTCGATACGAAATCGCTTAAATATTAAGGCTTTAAGAAAAATACAGCAAAAAAACAAGTAAGAAATTATAGTCGGACCTGGCCGACCATATAATACCCTACTTACTTAAGCCATTTATTGTTGAATAAAATTGTGGACATTTAAGTAAAATTTTGAAGGGGGCTTTGAATAGGGGCTATGGTCAAATGAGACCCTATAATTATAAAATTCATGAAGGTCATCAAGGCTAATATTTTGCAGCTTTTTGTCTAGATACGAGTATATTAAACATAATTATGAACTTAAAAGCCATATTCGTCGGGTTCAGTTGTATGGAGGCTAGGTGAGATAATGAACCGATGTTAACCATTTTCAATAGGCTTCGTCCCTGGGACAATAGAAGACCATGTACCAAATTTCATTGAATTATCTTCAAAATTGCGACCTATAGTTTGACTACAAGGTTTACATGGACGGACAGTCGGACGGACATACATAGCTAAATCGACTCAGAAAATCATTCTAAGTCTATTGGTATACTTTAAGATAGGACCAATATTATTATATTACAAACATCAGCACAAACCCAATATACCCTCCCCAATAAAAGCCCATTTCAGGAACTCTCTTCTCTTGCCTTCATTTTCATAGTGACTGACAGGCTTTCAATTTCAATTACATACATATGTATATATACATTTGAAATAATTGTAATTGAAGCTTTACCAATTACAATTACTTGATAAATACGAGATAAAGAGCCTTAGACTATTTTCATTTACAAATTGATTTATTATTTTATTTTTCACCTGAAATCCCTCTTTATGTATGTATGTATGCACGTTCACACAAGTGTTAAAAATCAATACAATTTATTTGGAATATTAAAATCAAAAATTTATTTATTTTACAGAAAATTGCTAATATGAAATCAATGACCTAGTATATAAATATTTTGTTTTTTTTTTGCAGTCAGTGACTTACAATGAATTTTATTTATTTTTATTTCTTATTATTTATTGTTTATTTTTCTTTTATAATATTATAATAATTCTTAATTAAAAACTGATAACCTTTTGATTTCAATTAAATATTGTACATAGAAAAAGAATGAAACGCTTCCCACTGATAACACAGAGATACGATGTTTTGTTGAATGTAGTGAGTACTTAGAAGAAGCATATGTTGCACAGACATAAAATAATATATACAGTTCATATAGAGCACTTCCAAGGAGAACAATCAAATAGAAATTTATATTCATCATGAAATTTAATATATTTTTCGTCACTTTTATATTCTTAATAAAACAAGTGAGTCTTGAAGAAACGATTAAATATTTCGAGAATTAGAAAAGAATAGAATTTTTTTCCATTTATTTATATTTGTTTTGTACATAAACACGAATATACAAATAAAAAATTGTATGAAATTTTAGTCATTGTGCAATTTAGAAAATGACAAAAATAGTGATATTTTGCGGCAATGTTTGCAAGACAGCAATCACAATCCAGATATCAGCACCAATGAATTGCTAGAGAAATTTAAAAATTATGCCAACTGGACGTATGAGGAAATACCTTGTTTTGCGCGATGTGTGGTAGCTGAGAAGGGTTGGTTTGACATTGATCATCATCGTTGGAATAAACAAAAAATTGTTGATGATTTGGGTGAAAATCTATACAATTATTGTCGTTATGAATTCAGTCGTCCGTTTAAGAATGTATGTACTTATGCTTTTAAGGGTCTGAAATGTTTAAAGGATGTGAGTTTTAACATTAGACTTATTTTTTAAATATTTATAAATTGCAAATAACATTCAATTTGTAGGCGGAACTAAATGTCATTGTCACCTACTCCCATCTACTGGAGTGTATCAACGAGAAGGCAACTAGCATGTCACAACTTTTGGAATATTATCACTTTCCTAAAGGTGAACGCATACCCTGTCTCTTCAATTGTTTTGCCAATCGTGCCCAACTTTACGATAATAACAACGAATGGATTATTAAAAATTGGCTAAAAGCATTTGGTCCACCGCGAAATGTGAATATGTCAAATGTTGCTGTGTGTCGTGTACCGGATGAGAGAAGAAAAACTATGAATGTTTGCGCTTGGATGTATGAAGAGTACAACTGTTGGGAACGTTTTAATTATAATACAAATGGTTCGGTAGCTTATCGTAAGGCATTGAGAAAGAGCAATGGCCAGAAAATGTTTTAAGCGTGTTTCTACTACTATTACGATTAGTTAGTATGAGCGCATACGAAAATGCGAACAAAAAACGAAAACAAAAGATATTTTTAAATCTAAAACAGTATTGGCATAAATAACAAAACAAATAAAAGAAAAATATTTATAATTCATCTGAAATTAAATGTAAGATTATAATTTTAGCGCAAAAATAAATGCATCGCCGTAATTATTGTGTTAAAAACACAGCAGCTATAATTATTTCTAAAATTTTATTTAATCTTGACCTCTCTATGAAATTGTGTTGGAGGAAACAAATAGAGGTTATAATTTTGACATGCACAAGTTAATACATATTGTTACAAAAAGTTATGAAAATCCAGTTTTGAAAAAACTTTAATAATTTTTTGCAAAAATGTAAGTTTTAGTTATTTATTTAACAATTTTTCATAAATTTGTAATTACATGGAAATAAGGGCTTTGCTTTATAGTAAAAATCTAAAATCTAATACTAAAATCCCACAAATATCGTGTGCCCTAAGCGAGAAAAAATCTGTTTCTTACGAATATCTCGTAGATACAGTTTACGTGAAATTTTTTGCAAAAGGGTAATTTGTTTTCAATATTATTGTATACCATAGTGTCTCCACTCTTTTGCTGAAATCCGATAGTCTAAATATATCTGGATAATGACTACCAAATTTTTTATACCCACCATTAAAAAATATGGGGGGTATATTGATTTTGTCATTCCGAAATATAGGTCATAGACCCATAAAAGTATATATATTCTGGGTCCTTATTAAATTCTAAGACGATCTAGGCATGTCTGTCCGTCTGCCTGTCTGTCTGTCGAAAGCACGATAGAGTCCGAACGGAATGAGCTAGAGGGTTGAAATTTTCTAGAAATATTCCCTAGAGATAAGGTTTGTTTGGTATTGAAAATGGGCAATATCGGTCTACGTTTTCGGATAGCCCCCATACAAGTGGCCCCCGAAAAACAGCTTAAACGGGCATATCTGTCTTAAAAGTACGAGTATAGCGATGATATTCTACATAAATAAGTTTCATATGATCAAAAATCTCCTTACTAAATTTTATACTGATCGGTCCATAATTGACCCTACCCCATTTAAGGTCCCCTTCGGAAAATCACTATAACTCTCATTACTGGCTTAAAAATAAGAATATAGCGATGAAATTTGACACAAATAAGTTTCTACTTAATTTTATACGAATCGGTCCATAATTGACCCTTTAACGCTTGACCCTACCCCCTATATAAGGTCCCCTTCAAAAACGACCTTAACGCTCATTTCTTTCTTAAAAATACGTGTAAAGTAATGAAATTTGACATGAGTAAGTCTCTTACGAGCAAAATCCTCTCTAGCAAATTCTATGTGGATCGGTCTATAATTGACCCTATATAAGGGGACCTTATATGGGGCTTACAAGTACGAGTGTAGAAATTTAATTTTACATAACAAAGTTAGATAGGGTCAAATGAAGCCCGATCATTACGACTTCTATAATCATTAAGACTTATATAAAACTAAGTTTTGGCGATTTTTGAAGTGATACAAGAACATTTAACATATTTATGAGCATAACAGTATTTTTTGGGGGTACGGATGTATGGGGGCTATACGAAATAATGGAACCAGGCTTTGTCCTTGAGTCAAGAGAACAGTATGTGTCAAATTTGATCAAATTATCTTGAAAATTTCGACCTGCAGAGTGCGCACAATGTTTACATGGACGGACAGACAGACTGACGGACATATCTAAATCGACTCTGAAAGTGATTCTTAGCCAGTTGGTATGCTTTAAGGTGGTTGTACGAGCAATATTTTTGGGTGTTACAAACATCAGCGCAAACGCATAACCTAATAATGCACTATAGTTAGAAAACTATTTAGCTAACGTAGGAAATTTAATTGTCTACAGAAATGTATTAGTATATGAAAACGTATGAATCACAATAAAGGAGGTATTTGTAAAAAAACTGGTTTTTGTGACCTTTGACCACCTAATAGCGTAGTTGGGATTAATGTTGTATCCCCTTAATCAAGATTCCAAGACAAGGTCCAACATTATTTCAGCTATCTATAATTTCCCACTTTTCTAATTTTTTCGATTAATTTTCTTGAGATTTTTGTTTTTGTTTATTCTTTAATTACAATGAAAGAACCATTTTAACATTTAACATTTCCGAAAATGTCAACTTATACATACATATTTAGGTACATTTCTTTTAAGCAACTACTGTGTTTTTAGACCGAGATCTAACACTTCTTTTAGATTAATATAAATTTAATATAATATACAGATACCTATAACTATGATCACAAGCCTTAATTCACCTTCTATAGAGTACCCGCTTATAATCTTAATGCATATTTTACATTAAAAACTAATAAAAAACCTGATTTATAAATAACTTTATAAACGAGAGTAAAAAAAAAAATAATTTCATCATGCAAGAAATATAACCAAGGTCATTACAAAAATAAAAAAAAAACAAAAAGAAAGAAGTAAAACTATTTTTTCTCACGAAGAGGTAATTTTATTTATATTTTTTTATTTCAATTCATTTGCACCAATAAAAGAAAGAAAGGAAAAAAACGCCGCATTTTTAAACTAAAATGTGAATGAACGCCAATCATATTATGGCGGTTTAATGCGAAGCAGTGTTGTGTATGTTACATGATATGTGAACAATTTGAACAGAAGCAGATATTGCAAAAATATTAATATTATGACTACTATTTCATAATTTGTTAATAATTGAAATCAACATAAATGTAACTTAAAATGTAAACTTTTTAAAGGGAAACAAATTACTAAATAACTTCACTTTAGCGTCATTTGCGGTAGCCTCCACATCATCGAATTAGTTCAAACATTAATTATCAGCATAAACTTGGTATACCTACTCAACAACTTGCTTCTCAATGACTATTTAATACCATCTGAATTACTTTAAAGTAGTTTTATAATACCTTACATATTTTTCTGCGTAAAACAACTTACACAACTGCCTATTTGTTAGCGAGTGTAGTAATGACTTATTTTACTCCATATAAGTAAGCGAGCGTGATACATGCCTCTAATAATATCGTTGTGTTAAAATAGTTCCAGTGTATAAATAGTTATATTAGCTTTTTATCTCGTTACTTTGAATGCATGAATTTGCTGAGTTGTTTTCTTGGGAAAACTTAGCAACAAACTTCAAGTTTTATCAAAAACATACAATTTCTAGGTGAAACAAACAAAAAATTCGCAATTGCCATTTAAGAAAGCCCAAACAAAAATCACTTTGTACAAACAACAATGACAAATATAGTACTAGTAACAACATCAACTAAACCCAACAAAAAAAACTAACAAAACTGACCTATGACAATTATGATGGAATACAAAGTTATAAAAGAGATACTAAATGTAAAGAAAACGACATTATAACTAACTGGTCTTCCTATGTTTTTGTTGTAAGTCTAAAAACAAAAAAAAAAAAAAAAAAATCATAATTTTTGAAAACCGACCATTCTTGCTGTCACTCACCATTAATTTAAGTCAATTTATCTCTCTTTTATGGTTGCTTTCAAAACGTTCAACACACACCCAAATAAATGAGCATCTCAAATCATTTAAAACAACATGTTTGGATTGATGTTATGTGTAAAAGATGTGACGTCTTTTAATCTTTCACATTTGTTTTGATTTGTTTTGGGATGTTGCAATCATTTTGAATAGATGCTTCTTTGATTTTGGGAAAAACAAGTAATTTATGTGCCAATTCAAATTCACACATATCTGTTTTTGAATCCAATATAAAGTTGAGCATTAACAATTTATCAGATTGTTTGTAACATATTAATATTTTTGGCCATTAAAATATCGGTAAAATGATGAAAAATTTTCATATAGGGAAAATTGGTCGAAATTTCCTATAAAGTGAAAATTTAACGGAAATTTATGGTAAATTTTCTATAAAGAGAAAATGTATCGTAATTCTCTACAAAGAGAAAATTTAACGCAAATTTTTTATAAAAAGAGAATTTAACAGGAATTTTCTATAAAGAGACATTTTATCAAAAATTTTCTCTAATGAGACAATTTATCAAAAATGTTTTATAAGGAACAAATTTATCATAAATTTTCTATAAAGAGAAAATTGATCGTAAATTTTCTATAAAGAGAAAATTTCTCGAAAATTTTCTATAACGAAAAAATTTTTCGAAAATTTTCTATAACGACAAAATTTATCGAAAATTATCTATAAAGACAAAATTTATCGAAAATTATCTACAAAGACAAAATTTATCAAAATTTTTCTATAAAAAGAAAATTTATCGAAAATTTTCTATAATGAAAAAATGTATCTTATATTTTCTTTCTATACAGAGAAAATTTATCAAAGATTTTCTAAAAAGAGGAAATTTATCGTTAAAGGGAAAATTTTTTGTGAATATTCTTTTAATAAAAAATTTTCTATAAAAATTAAATTTATCAAAAATTTTATTTAGTGACAATTTGTTAAAAATGTTCTACAGATAAAATTTATTAAAAATGTTCTATAGAGAAAATTTATCAAAACTTTTCTAGAAAAGAGAATAATTTTCTAAAAAGAGAAAATTAATGATAATTTTCTAATAGAAAAAAATAGTGAAATTTTTCTAAAAAGAGAAAACTCATGGGAAATTTTTTATATAAAAAATGTATCAAAAATTTCTTACAAAAACAAAATTTATAGAAACTTTTCTATAAAGAAAGAATAACAATAAAAATTATCAAACATTTATCAAAAATATTGTACTTAGAGAAAATTACAAGAAATTTTATTCAGGTTGTGGATTAATCGAAGGTTTTCAACAAAAGGAATTTGTTGTTACAGCAGCAATATAGAATTAATTAAAATATGTATTTAATCTAAACTACTAGTGGGCATAATATTCGATATAATCTAAGCGCCTAACATTTTAACTTAATATACTTTTAATTTTATTTATTTTTCATTTAGTGTAAAAATTCACATTCAAATAAGTTTATACGTACATATATTTTTTTAACAATTTTGTCCAAACAACAGCAATAAGAAATAAATGCTAATTTGACCTATTTTAAGTATGATTTTTTCTTCTTTTCAAAATCAAATTAAATATTCAAAATAAATTATGAGATTTCTTTTGTTTGGCCTCAAGGTTAAATTTTGAATGCACACACTATCATAATAAAACAATAA